CATACCATACACCATACCATACCATACCATACCATACCATACCGTACCATACCATCACAACAGCCTTATGTATTTATTTGAAGTAGTGGTCTTTATGTTAGGTGATTTTCTTTTTTCTTTCTACTCCTCATTACCTTCTAACTTTACAGTGAGAGGTCAGATAGGGACTGTGGATGTCATAGGAGCCTGAAGACTAACAGGCATTTCTGGAAGTTTTCAGTCTGCCTCCTACTTTGTTTACTATGTTTGGCTAGAAGGAGGTAGAAAACTTAGATAGCATATTGGTTGTATAGTTGTTGTCTTTTTTTTTTTTTTTTTTTTTTAACTTTTTGGGGTCCTGCTACCCAGCTCCCAAATAAATACTTGGAGACTTATTCTTACTTATAAATGCCTGGCCTTATTAGCTTGGCTTGTTTCTAGCCAGTTTTTCTAACTTAAATTATCGTGTTTTTCTTCTTTGACGTTTTACCTCTGGGCTTTTTAACCTTTCTTTATAGTATATGCCTTTCTTTCCTTCTTACTCCGTGGCTGTGCCTGGATCCTCCTCTCCTCCTTTTCTCACTCCTAGCTATTCTTTCTTCTCCTATTTCTTCTCTCTGCTTGCCAGCCCCGCCTATCCTTTCTCCCACCCCCGCCTATCCTTTCTCCCACCTTACTATTGGCCGTTCAGCTCTTTATTTAGACCAATCAGGTGTCAAAGTAACACAGCTTTGCAGAGTTAAACAAATGTAACATAAAAGAATGCAACACATCTTTGCACCATTAAACAAATATTCTACAGCATAAATGAATGAAACACATGTTAAACTAATATTCTATGACATGGTTGTTTCCAGCAGTTGGGTGCAAAAATAAATTCCTCTGTTGTCTTTTGTTAGTTGCATCATCTAGACAAGTTACCTAGTATTTGAGCCTCTCTGAGTTTTCCAGCCTGTGCAGCATGCTTTTTAGAGTAGCTGATTCATTAGTGCAGTGGCACCTACTAGTATTTCTTTATAATCCTTGACAGCCTTCATTGAAGCATACATAGCAGGTGGTTGGGAGTTTGACATCTGCAGCTTATGAAAAGTCGATAGCAGATGTTAGTTTCTTCTATTTCTTTGGCAAAAGATGGACTACCTTTCTCTGGGAAACCAGTGGTGGAAGGTGTCTTGGCAGCCAGCGCTTTCCCTATCCTAGGGTGGCTTCACACTGGGAAGTTAGGATTTCTCTCCAACTAACTCAGTGAGACACCATTTAACTACTTACAGTGTGCATCAGTCGGGGTAGGAGAAACAGATGGAGGATGTATCTGAAATGATTTTTAGCAGAATAATTAGTAGTCTTTTAATGTTCCTTGTCATTTTTTTTATTATTTTATTTTATTTTACAATACTATTCAGTTCTACATAACAGCCACAGATTCCCTTGTTCTCCCCCTTCCTGCCCTCCTCCCCTTCACCCCAGCCCACCCCCATTCCCACCTCCTCCAGAGCAAGGCCTCCCCCGAGGACTGAGATCGACCTGATAGACTCAGTCCAGGCAGGTCCAGTCCCCTC